CCGGAGTGGTTCATCCCGAAAACATCTAATCACACTACACAAACCTCCTTTAGTCTAGTTAAGTACTCTTAGTTTAGTACTCTTATAATAAAGCGGTTGTCCAAACACGCTCGTAACTATAGAACGTTGATAAAATGATGGCACCTTAATTGAAGCCCAATTCTGCATTCGTGCGCAGGGGCTGATTAAAGTAAGTAATTATTCCTTGTATAACATTCTCTTTAGTGTTTATCAAACACCAGTAGCTTTCTGCGAAATAATTACGATCGTTATTAATCACGAGAGATTTTAACACATTTTCGAAGGCGCTCGGCAACAGTAAATAGGTTTAGTTCGTGTACCTACCATAAGCTTATCAAAGTGAAATGCAAATGAGTTTAGAGTTGTTGTGCGTGGTTTTCACTTACATTAATAATGAAAATATTTAAATAAGGTAAAGGAAAACCTCACACTTGTTCTAATTTTCACTTTAGAACCAGAAGGTGTTGTCATAAATTTTGATAAATTGGATTGTATATAATAAAAGGGTTTATTACAGACATGGCATATATTACAGAAAATGCCTATTTAGCATTTCATGAACCAGAAATAAAAGAACCGTCAGTATTAAAACACTTCTTTATTATGAGGCGAAAAACCGCCAAGGTAACAAAACCGCCTATGTGTTGGTATGCAAGGTAGGCTTAACTTATGTAAATTGTAGCTTGAGGCAAATAGCTATTAAATCTGTTTTATTCGGTTTCAGTTAAACTTAAAAGCCTTGTAAGCGGAAACAATATTATGGAGTATAAATAAGTTCTGATAACTTGCCACGTTTGAATAAGTCACTTGATCGAATCTTTGATCTGGGAAAAACTTAAAGTTTCGTGGACCGAATGTGGCCTACCGGTTAGGGTGGCAGCCAGTGAATCTGAGGGTCCATGGTTTGCGTCCCGTTGTCGCAAAATCGCGCTCCGCACTTTGGAAACATGGATTTGATATGAGAGTGCCACTGAAATCTCACTATTGTAGCATAAGAGTGGCACTGATATCCCACTATTGCAAACACACGAAAGTGGCGTAAGAGTTGGCAGTGGGTGCTGTTAGCCAGCTGTCTTCTTTCTAGTCGATCAGTTCAAAATGAGGGACGGATAGTGCAGATAGCTCTTGTTGGAGCTTTGCGCGAAAATTCTGAAACTCTCTAAATTAAAGCTTCATTTTGTTTAAGTTTGGATATTTAAAATTATAATCAATTTAAAAAACGTTACAAAATCGCTAAGTGGAATAGAAAATTTCATTCAGTTTATAAATGGAGAAAATAAACTAAGCCTCGTTGCTTTTAATGATGATTCTTTCTAAGTCTTCTCAGAACGGTTAGAAACCACGTCGTTTTCTATGTGGTCTCACAATAGGTGAATTAGCGCTGGATACATGATGTAGTTTCTTTTCTCTATCACGGTTTCTAATAATAAAAAACAGCTGAGATTAGAAACTTGTTTCATCACAACATCATTCTGTTTCTTAAATGTGCTTAATGTTTATAATAAAATATTTGATTATTTGTAAATGAACGCACAATCAGGTATGGCTAGAAAATTTACCATCATTCGGAACGTTTAGAGACTATATCGTTCCACTATGTCTCCGAGATCCAAGTCAAATTTTTATTTTTTTAATGTGTCACAAAAGTTCTTATTTTTTTTAACCATTAAACAGCTCAACCAGAAAGCGCAACGAAACTGTGCAGTGTTCTTCAACGGAATTTTCAGTTTACAAGCAGCTTTTGGTAGTTGCTTTAGCTACCAACTAGCCATCAACGCGGACTTTATCGATATTTAATTAATCTTTTAGCATTAATAAAATTTAATGAAAAAATTGTCGATGTTTCGAAGTCGTAACTGTTTTTGGAAATGTCATTTGGGTATATAATTATGTTTCTCTAGACCACGTACTATGTTAATATAAAATGGCGAAAATAATGAAGCGTTCCTGAACTAAGAAACTTATTCAACGCACGCTGAAAGTCAAGTTGTATTAAAACCAGGCATTCCTGAACTAAGAAACTTATTCAATGCACGCTGAAAGTCAAGTTGTATTAAAACCAGGCATTCCTGAACTAAGAAACTTATTCAATGCACGCTGAAAGTCAAGTTGTATTAAAACCAGGCCGTTCCTGAATTAAGAAACTTATTCAATGCACGCTGAAAGTCAAGTTGCATTAAAACCAGGCGTTCCTGAATTAAGAAACTTATTCAATGCACGCTGAAAGTCAAGTTGTATTAAAACCAGGCATTCCTGAACTAAGAAACTTATTCAATGCATGCTGAAAGTCAAGTTGTATTAAAACCAGGCATTCCTGAATTAAGAAACTTATTCAATGCATGCTGAAAGTCAAGTTGTATTAAAACCAGGCATTCCTGAACTAAGAAACTTATTCAATGCATGCTGAAAGCTAACTTGTATTAAAACCAGGCATTCCTGAACTAAGAAACTTATTCAATGCACGCTGAAAGTTAAGTTGTATTAAAAACAAAACGACTTAAGTTTGTTTTCTCCTTTCCAAAGACTTAGTTGACTGAAGTAGAGTTTCTAGGTTTTAAAAATATTCATTTTATTTGAGGTTATTCCCTTCTCCCCACCCCGTTTCAAATATTCGTTCAAGCTTAATGGCTACGAAAGCGAAGTTACGATTGGCTGAAAACACGTACTGAAAGTCAGTTTTTACCTTAGCGTTCGCGTGAGTGGAAAACAAAGTCAAAATAATTTCAAAACTTTCTTTCGACGTTACAAGTAACAAAGATAATAGGGATTTATTTTCTTTCAGAAAGTTCTTTCCACGTTTTTTAACTGTCGTATATGTTGATTAGGAACGATTTACAAAGTGGTAATAAAAGATAGTCTAACAGCTTATTCATAGCAATTGGATACACACTAAGCCCAGTGCGTGTGTTTAAAGGAAATTAAATTTGATGGTCTCATAA